AAGGGGGGGGGGAGGGAGAAGGAGGAAGGGGGTGGGTCTCACCTTGCAGACGACGGCGAATCCCTTCTTGACGGCTTGCAAGGCCGTGTCCCTCGTCGGTAACACGGCCAGCCGCTTCTTCACGCAAGCGTTCACCTCCGCCACCAGCGACTCGCTCGTGCTCACCAGGATGGGCCTCGCCTCTGTGTCGTGCTCCGCCTGGTCTCCCGATCGACGCCCCCCCCACACACACACGACGGAAAATACAAGAAAAAAACGTACGAGCACAAGACCGTCAAGAAAGCAACAGTGGATATGAAATCGTGTGGCTCACCCACTACGCACGCTGCAGGAAGTGCACGTGAACCCGTGTGGTTCATCCATCACGTTTGGCATACGGATGGAATGTCCAGGTCGGGATGGGGGGCAAACGGCCCATTGTTTCCACGCGGACGACGCCTCGTCGTGGGCACGAATCTTCGCCGCTATCCTGAAACAACCGAGAGGTTTAGCAGCTAGACACGGAAATGCGCATGCATGCCCCCCAGCAGATCACCTACAAAATATCGAAGCTACGCAGCAGAGACTAAATACATGCGTGACCAGCGAAACAGAGGTGGAAGCAGAAGGAGAAGCACACCGTGATACGAAAATGTTCGCCGATGTCCCGAAACAACAACCGAGATATTCAGCTATAGGTGGACTACCGGCGTTGTGAACCAACAACAACCGAGAGAGATTCAGCAGCTAGCTGTAGTAAGGCTATCTGAAACAACCGAGATATTCAGCAGCTACATAGGTAGACTAAGGGCGTTCTGAAGCAGCTATTGAGAGATTCAGCAGCTATGATAGGTAAGCTACTACCTGGGCTAGTAGATCGGCCGCGACGGTCTCGACATCCGCCGTGGAGTCCGCAATGACCAGGACCTCGCTGGGCCCGGCCAGCATGTCGATGGCACACCTGAGTACGCACACGGAAATCAATACAACAGCGATCGAGCCGGAACCAAACACACTGCGCGTGTGCCCCACACCAAATGTCGGCAAGCATATAGATGGCACACACAAGCAAACACGGGAAAGAAGCAACAACGATCATGTGGGACCAAAACACCACCGGGTGCCTCACACCAAAGATGCATCAGCGAGCCGCCCCACAAGCCAACGGGAGCTCGGCCTCCGATCCCGCGGGTGGGTACGGCACGCGCCGTGAAAAAAACAAGGCGGCGGTACGCGTGTGTATACCTCGCACCAAATAGCATGGCAGCAGCCATCGCCGCAAGTTGTGTTCTTAGGGCAACAAAGTGCACAGGATGATATTTTGATTGTTATCCATCACTTTACCTTCCCGAGACGAGCGACTTGGCAGCGGTGACCCAATTGTTGCCCGGGCCCACGATGATGTCGCACGGAGGCACCCCGCCCACCCTAGCGGGGTTCAGGGCACGCACAAACGCCAGCAGCGTGGGGGTAAGCCGTTTGTTGCACGCGGAGAACTAAAAGGCATGAGCGACGACAACCACACCCAAGGTAATACCGCTGGTATTGGCGAGCGCCTACACATAGATACGACTTGCCTGCGAGAACAGTTAAAATTATTGTAAATCATTCGAAACAGAATGCCAACAAGAGAACATGACACACGAGATATGCTTGCCCGCTGCTTCCGGGATTGTTTGACCACCGACGGGGGTCTGTGCTTGCCAACAACTATCAATAGCGGTACAACATGGTAAGTACATTATATCATTCGCAAAAATAAGTGACGCAAAACATGCTCAATACGGAATAAATTAAAAAAAGCGCATATGAAAAACATTTGCCATACCCGCCCCCCCCCCCCGCCGCTGCCGCCGAAATTCATGTAGTCGCGGAATGTCGGGTGTACAAGGAGAGGGAAGTGTACATGACTGAGCTGGGAAAAAAAAGTGGAAGAAAAGTACAGGGAGATGTTTGAGGCATGGGATAGCCAGGAGAAGACGTTAGCTGTACTGGGGCATAGGAGGTGGGTTGAAAAGGCGGGAAGTGACATCGGTAGAATAGATAAGACTCGGGAAGACATTGTTGAGTCACCTTTGGCAAAGTAGGAACGAACGATTGGCCATCGGTGATCGGTCCTGTGGGAACAATGCTCCGTCCTCTCAAGGACGCGTGGTCAATGGTCTAACCGCCAAGGCATGCAAAACACAAGAGTACGCCCCCTCCCCCCCCAAAAACTAAGCGTAGGCACCGAGCGCGCACAGCCAAACTCAAAGACAGGCGCGGCACGAAAGGAAGAGACCACGCAAGAACCTACAGGCTGCAGCTATCTCTCCGCTTGGTTCTCACCCGAAAGCCATGGCGGCCACCGCCTGGGCCCCTCCCACGCAGAGCAGAGCGTCCGCCCCGGACACGTGGGCCGCCGCCACCGTCGCGGCCGCGGGCCTCGGCGATGCCACAACCACCTACCATCGCACGCATGGCGGGCAGGCATGGATAGGGGGGAGGTGGGTGCAAAGGCACAATTGGAAAATCGGACAACTTTTGAGCAGCAGCGTGTGGGCGGGATGGGGGCAGGTGGGCGCAAAGGTACAGCCGGAAATTCGGACAGACTCTTTGACTACCAGCCAAGCGTGTGTTTACACCTTCCTCGCCCAGGTGGGGCTGACTAGCTGGACCGGACCGCTTCCCCCCACACGAATTTCCAGGACACACCACCGACCGACCGACCCCCTTTAGTGTACATTCCCAGTATCCCACCTAACTCGTGCGGGTACCGCTACACATCGCTCTGTCCGTTGATCTGACGCTATTAGTAGAACGTTGTACTCACCTCCCCCCTCACCTCTCCCCCTTCAAATCACAACGCAACTCATGGCATACATATCAGCGGCCAAAATAGCAGGGACAACACAACCCGCGCGTTCGCGACATCCCCCCGTACAACATGCTAGTACCTTGGGAACCCCGGCGGCTCTCGCGGTGACGGCCGTCATGATTACGGACGAAGGCAGGGGGTACCGCCCGCCGGGGGCGTAGCAGCCAGCGACGGACATGGGGCTGACGGTGTGACCAGCCATGCCGCCCGGGATGGGGACGGAAGCGTCGGTGAGGGCGGCGCGCTGCGCCTTCGCGAAAGTCTCCACGCGATCCTTGCGGGATGGGGTGTTGCGGGATGGGTACAGTAGGGTGGGTTGGAAAGGGCTGCTGAGCTCGAGCGTGTTGTACTTTGTCGAGATAGGGTGGGGGTGGAATACTGCCGTGTTGGATTATTGGAGCTTGATGAGAAATTATGTAGGTACCAAACACATAACAGAACACAGGTGTGCACGCGCGCAGAGGTTGCCACGCAGTCGAAACACCAAACACACACACCGACACAGACATGTGCAGTCGAAAGAACTACTGCTGCGTGAGGAAAGGTGGCTAGAATTGGGTAACCAGCCCCCCTTCATCGTGATGTGAAGGTGAGCGGCACTTTGGGGCTCCCCAGAGAATGTTGCGCCGCTCCCTGCTCTTGAGGTGTTTTGCGGTTTCGGCCTCGGTTACGTGGAGAGTCGGCGTCGTGTGGGCCAGCTCCGACGACACATCAAATTATTATAGTCAAACCCGCGTGTCGGCAAGCACCACTCTGCGGGAACCCCTCACAAGTATGAACCCGCCCTCCAGTTGTTTACAGTTGTTGAGAGAGAAGAAAACAGAAGATAGAGACGAGGGGGCGGGGATAGATGAGATGAACGCGGCTGCGTACGCATAGTGCCGGTTAATCGCACAGCGGTACTCAAGCGCGGGACACGAAGCACAGCAGAAGCGCGGCAAAGGTGATGCGCTACACAGAAGGTCAAGTAAGGCGTTCTTTACTCTACGGATGGGGTTAATACGTCCCCTCCTAGCACAGAGTCTAAAACGTTGCTTACACCACACAGCTTAGGTAGACGCTTTCCGGCAAGGGCCCGAAAACCTACAAAAGAGATAATACGAAACGCGGGCTCGTACGTCCAATTGGCGACGCAACCTTCCTACCGCCGCCGCCAGGAATTGGGCCGCAACAACATGCAGCGCGTTCATCGTCGCACTCACACACCTTGGTTCTGACGAGAACCTGTCTGTCCTCCTCGGGGAGCTCGTCGAACGCCGCCTTCATCTCGGCTGGCCCCAGCACCAACGGGTCGCTCTCGCTCTTGATGTCCCCCAGTCGCAGCGCCTGCGCAACCAGGCTCTTGGTCCCGCCGCTCTCCACGTCGTCGACAATCGCCTGGTTGGTATTCGTTCATAGGATTAAAAACAAAAAACGCCAGGGGGGTTGGCATACCATGCGATATCCGCCGCTGAAGATTGCGCCGCATACATGACGTGCCGAGGAAAGCAGCGCTGCTACATAGCTAGCTCAATTTATTTCCCCGAGCTTCCTCGTCAAATATCGATCGCCCCGCAGCCAATCAGCAACCGCAGCGCGTCGACCGGAGTTCCACGCGGGCTGCCTCCATCTTGCTGGGTTTGTTTGCAAGTCTGACCGCAGACCACAAGCTGCCAAGCCTAACGCTAGTTTGATTTCGGCTTCTTTAGACCGCAAGCACCGGTGCTGATGGCCACAAGCACCGGTACGCAGGCAGCAGCAGCAGAAGCAGCAGCGGTGGTGTGCGGTTTTACACTACTAATGCCACCCATCTCAAAAACTTTACACACCCTGTACAACTTTAACTAATAACTAAGATAGTTGTTTGCGAGACAACTACCGGCTAGTTGCTCGTAAACACCTAGTTGCGCACGCTCCTAGAAGAGTAGTTGTCTGCAGGAAACTAAGTGCGCACGATTCTGGGAGGGTAGTTGTCTGCAGGCAACTAGATGCGCACGCTCCTGGAAGAGTAGTTGTCTGCAGGCAACTAGGTGCGCACGCTCCTGGAAGAGCAGTTGTCTGCAGGCAACTAGGTGCACACGATTCTGGAAGAGTATTGTAGTCGTCTTCAGGCTCAACTTTCTTTTTCCACATTCCAGTCGAGTTCGTATCACCTCTCTCCTACATAGGCTCTGGGAGTATACTCATGCCGTGCACAGCAGTTCTTGTTCCTGGAATCTCGCCTATTTTGCTCGCTCATGCTCATCAACTAAAAAATGGCCGTGCCCATCAAGCTTGAGCGGTGGGCGAACGGGCTGTTTCAACCAGCAGGGTTCAACCGCAGCAGGTATGCTGGTCTCGCGCGATGGCGCTATGTGCTACCGTGTTCTCAACTAGACATGCCACACCGTGGGGAGGGTTAAGCATGTGCATCACGTGGTCCATCTAGTGCCGTCTACAACAGTACTGGCTCGTTGGTCTCCCCGTGGCATGCAACGGAGTCGATCATTCAAACCAATCAATTTATGTTCAACCCTAACTAATGACTAAGCTAGCTATTACAACTACGGGCTAGCTGTTCGTAAACACCTAGTTGCGCACGCTCCTGGAAGAGCAGTTGTCTGCAAGCAATTAGGTGCGTACGCTCCTGGAAGAGTAGTTGTCTGCAGGGAACTAGTTGCGCACGCTCCTGGAAGAGTTGCCTGCAGGCAACTAGATGCGCACAAATCTGAACCAGTAGTTGTCTGCACTCAACTAGGTGCGCATGATTCCGGAAGAGTAGTTTTCTGCAGGAAACTTGGTGAGCACGCTCCTGGAAGAGTAGTTGCCTGCAGGCAACTGGGTGCGCACGCGCCTGGAAGAGTAGTTGTCTGCAGGCAACAATAATAATAGGTGCGCACGCTCATGGAAGAGTAGCTGTCTGGCAAACAACTACCAACTTGAATAGTTGTACAGGGTGTGCAACTTTAGCAGCATCGCCGGCTGGGCCTATCATTGCTCTTGCTTGCTGTAGCTTTCGACCGGCATTTGGTCGGCTGTACTGCTACGTGTGGGTAGTTGATACCGGAGAGGTTTCATGTGAGCACATCGAAATGGCTGTATCAACGATTGTAGTCTCTGCTGCGGCACGCTGCGGAAGTTTGTGTGCACTCCAAATCGCCAGGAGCACCAGCCCATCTTTCTTATCCTTGCTGTTGCTTCCCACTGGCACCTCGGTCGACCACAGGGCTACAGCAGCATCGCGAATGGGGAGGTCGTCGAGTCTTTCATGGAAACCGGGAGTACAAAGTACACCGTACTGCAGTTCCTGCTGTACAACATGCACCCATCGTGTTCGTGGGGAGAGATGATGCTTTACATGCCGCCTATCGAGGGTCTGGCGGTGGTGTTTGTTTAAATACACACATCTAAATACGGTTGTACAAGGAGCAAAATACCCGACGGGCTACTTATTCCATACAAGCCACGTGCATCGCCGGCTGCTCACCTTCGCTTGCTCCCGAGCAACAGGGTCCACGGGGTCCGCCTTGACCGTAGGAACCTGGTCCACCGTCACAACCTTCAACTCCGGCATGTCGGACTCCAAGGCCATGGTGTCGGTCTCGTCTGTACCGGCAGCAGCAGCAGCAGCAGCAGCAGCAGCACAGAGGGAAGCGGGAGAAGCACCACTGCGTCGAGGACCAGAATCGACACCGGCAGCAGGGTGATACTTACGGCGGCGGCCGGCGACAATGGCGGCCGTTGTGGTGGTGAAGGGGAAGCACACGTCAGACTGGAGGGATGTGCTCGAGGAGGGGTGCCGTGGTTGCAAGGACGTTGGCCTTGAAAAGGGTCGGCTCGGCGGCACGAAACTCGCGGCCCGGGTCGTGAAACGCCAGAGAAACAGGAGGCTAGTGAGGTTTACCACCCTCTTCAGGACGGACGGTGGCATTCGAGAGCGGGAGGGGGACTGTCGCCCCTGATCGTTGCTTCGTTCATGATCGAATGCTGACTTCACCCGATTAAAGAAGGCCTCCCAGGTGCTTGAAACTCCGAGTGATTGCATTTCTTCCAGAGGAGCGCTGCTTCCTGCCTCTCAAGCGAGGCAGGCACACACAGAGACCGGGGCCCCGTGCCCTCGTGCAGAGCGGAGCAAGGGAGCATTCCGATGGGTTGCATCCGGAGGGCTATGGTGACACGAACGACATGGATCGTACTGGGCGTACAGCTGCTTGCGGGTGAGTGCAACCAGCCGCTTTGTAAGAGTCGATGGGTGTGCGTCAAGTATTACCACACCAACAGTAAGCAGGCGGTACGTACTTTCATGTTGTTTGCGTGCTTGCGGTGCGGTAACCGCAGGCCAGTGTGCCTGGACAGCAGCGGTGGGTGGTGCTAGCTGTATCGTGCAGTCCCTGCTACCCAGGAAACAGCGGGGATCATCGGCGACAAGCGAGGATAGTTTTGAATATGCCGCGCAGGAGGGAACAACAATTCCCTACGGTATCCTGTATTGCTGCACATTGCACCCACCCTGCATACTTCAACAGCTGCCCACTTGGCGCCCTGTGGATGATGGGATCTCAGCTGACAGAAGAACATGCTTGTATGTTGGGATCGCGACTGCGTCCGTTATGCAGTCCTCACAACGGGGCTATGGAGAAAAAATGCGTCCCAAATTGAAAGTTGCACTGCTGCATGCGGGGTCTACGATCTTGATCTCTTCCCAGATCTCAGGTTGTAGATGCTACACACGCATATATTGGCACGCACAGGTCAACATTACTTGAACATGGCGCTGCTACATATGCTGCCAAACGGTAGAGGGTGCACTTTGTTCCATGTTAAATTCCTGATGTTTCTCGCCTCTCGAGGCGCCGCCACTATCGATGGTGTGGCAGCAGCTGTCGATCCCAGCTGCTCTCCTGTGATTCACCGACATCCTCCACAAATTTATTTTGTCCTCGACGTTTTTGACAACCAATACAAGCCCTCCCTACGGCAGCAGTACTGTTGACGGAAGTCCTGCTTGGTTCTGCAGAAGAAACGCGCTCACGAGGTGTGCGGTACTGCCAGCGGTTCCATCATACCTGAGAATAACAAAAGACCCTTCGAAATATTACACTACACCAAGAAAGGCGTTCATTCGCCCAAAAAATCATCTTTTCTTCCCGTCCAAAAGGACTGTGCGAGGGCTCAGCGTTCGCGTCAAGCGCCGCCGGCACGCCGACCCACGCGGGGGGGAGCAACGCCCAAGGAAATGGCGGGAGGGCAGGGGCAGGGGCGGCGATGTCCGCAAAGACCTCTTCGCTGCTATCGTCCGCGAAGAGCGGCGTGAGAGACTTCTTCGCCACGGCCTCTTCCGCTAGCGACGGGTGAGAGCAAGACGCGCGGACGGGGGACCGGGAGAGCGGCGTAAACAATGGCCTTCTGCTTTTGAGAAGGCTGGGTATGTTGTTATCGTTTTTGTCCGGGGGGGGAGGGATCGTGCGGACACGACGGGACAAAATACCTCTCTCCTGTTCTGCTTGGAGGCGTTCAACCGGACACGGCGCGCTGGAGTCCAAAGACAACAGCAGGAGCAACTCGGACTCGAGTTGGATGATGCCGGTGTCGTTAGGCGAATATGTTGGTGCTGCTCTCGTCGGCTAGGTTGGGTTAGCAGCTAGCTGGGTGGTGATGGCTGCTGTCGTCTGTCAGCCGTTTGTCACGAATGCAGGACCGCCTACGCAGGATTTTAAGAGTATCTGGAGAAAGAGTAAGGAGGGGGCACGCAGACCCTATCCCTAAGCCCAACCCTAACCCCGAAGCATGGATTGAATATTTTATCTCGTATATTGTTGACGACTCCGTGCTCCGTCATTTTCTTTATCTAGTTGTGTCCAGGACCGGGTTCGGGGGGTGACGGAGAATGGGAGGGGGGGGGGTCGTCGTGCATGGCCAAACTTGGTCGGCGCCCTCGCATTTTGCACTCGAAAGGTTGGATTGCAATCCCACCCTGGGATGGCGCTTGTTGCTACACCACCGTCTAAAAGCTTCTGCTGCTGCTGTTGCTGCTTCGCAATGTCTCCAACAACCCTTGCGTGCATCAGCAAAACACGCCGCCGGTACCGAGGAGGAGGAGGAAGCGGGGTAGGGGGTGCGCGGATGGTCAATACCAGGGGGGGAGGCGATGGAAAAGGGGGCAAAGGGGTCACAAAAGCTGCAGCGGACGCGAAGGTTGCGCCGCCTCCGGCATCGGGGGAAGCGGGGGCGGGAGGGTCGGCACCAGTGTTGGACCTGATTCAGCCGCACAGTGTCTCGGCGGAGGAGGTGGCTGGCTTTTACGGGTGCACAGTGGGCAAGGCAAGTAGGGAGTGAGGGGGGGGG